ACGTCGACGGAGGTTTCTCCTTGAATTTCCTCCATTCGCTTAGCCTGCGTCTACGGGGTTGCTACCTTCTACCGTCTACCTCGAGCCCCATCGATGGTGGTATCGATAACACATAGTTCAATAAAAAGTGACGTTTCTTTAACACCGGAACGAGACTAGTCGTTTCTTACAGTTTTGTAGATGCTGAATACGAATCCGGTTTCCAAATTGTTCCATCACGTCACAATTTTGAGAAATTTTTCATCAAAGTTGGAATAAAGGGGATATTTTCACGAACTTTGTCATATTGTAACTATATTTGACGTGCTGGAGAGAAGTTTTATTGCAGTGAAAATAAAGTATGTTGTTAGGACTTTTAACCCTCGAAAGGAATTTTTACATAGTTGACAAATTTGTGGTAAATTTAATAGATATCACATGTCCCAAATAATCCACAGAAATTTTGGTGTTAATTTAACGTAATACGAATATGTTAAATATAGTGACACAAATACTGTATTAATATTTTAACATAAAATAAATGGAAATTTTAAGTAAATTTTATGCAAAATTAACATAGTTTTAATCTCAATGTAAAAATTGAATTAAAAAATGTTAATTTTATATTTTATTATCCCCACTTATATTATAAAATACAATCAACATTTTTTCTGTAAATTTTAATAGGTAAATTTTGTTGCCAATAATACGGAACATATTATATTTATTGTTTAAAATTAGAAATAGACATTGTATTAATACCACATTTTTTCAGTTGTTTTAATAATTCAACATTAGAGTCCAATTAACACAACAGCGATATGTTAAATTAATACACGAATGTGTTAAATATTTAACACAAAAATTTTAATGAGGATTGCTTTTAAGAAAACACAATCTGTGTAATCATGAATTACAATTAGGTCATTGACGATTTACTAAATAGCTTTTAAGGATTGTTTAGATAATTGAATATGAATTCAATATCAAAGTTGGGCAAATTTAAAATAGGGGATACCAAAATTTAAAAAATGCTTTTTTATATAAATCAACTATATTGATTTCTCTATTTTGAATTTGACAATTTTGACACTGTATTCGTATTTAGTGACCTAAAAAATCTTAGTAAATCATCAATGCTCTAAGTCACAGCTAACTTCCGCAACACATCGCATTTAACCATAGATATCTTATTGACCATAACCGACATCAAACATTTCTTTTAAAAGTCTTAACAACATACTTTATTTCGATTGCAATAAAATTTCTCTAGCTCATGTAATATAACAAAGTTCGTGAAAGAAGCATTTCTTGCAACTCTAATTAAAAATCTCTGATTAAAAATTGTGACGTGATAGGACAATCTGGAAACTAGATTCGTATTTAGTATTAAAAAAACTTGTCTAGTCTCGTTCTAATTAATTTTTTTTTATTAAACAGTGTAATTAAACAGGTTGTACTTACATGATTTTAAAATTAGCTAGATAAAGATGAGACAAAAATATGTAAATTTATCTTATTGTTAGATAAGATAAAGATGATTTTGTTTTAAATATATATAGTAAAAAGATAAAGTTATATGGCGATTCATCCAGATAATTTTTAATACTGCTTGTATAAACAAGTTATAAAAAAATATAAATTATAAGAGGGATATAAAAATATACGCATTCATATTTTTATTTATAGATTTTTATCGCTTACTGCTTAAGTTCTACTATATAAGTATTTTTATGTGCTATAATTCTAAATCAAAATTATCAGAAAATTATTCTAGATAATTTAGTAAATTTTTTTTTCATTTAAGATACAGATATAGATAATACATATTTTTATTATCTATATAAAGATAAGATGACGCCAAAGTTTCATCTAGATGATCATTTAGATAATTTTATTTAGATAACGGCAAACACTGATAATACGTCGCTCGCGCGAGTATCGGATCGGCGCGACTGAACTCAATGAAATTACTCTCTCTCTCTCTCTCTTTTTCACCCCTCTTTTTTCTTTCTCTTTCAAAGTCTCTCTCGAATGCTCGCCATCGTGATGCGACTCGAGCGCACTTGAAAAATACGCCGCTCTTGCGCCCGCAATCGGCGCAGTCCGATAAAAGACGAGTCGGGATCGTGACTTTGTCCGTAAATTATTCCGTTCTGGTTCTCCACGTTTGCCGCGTACGGAATTTTTTCTCCATCCTACCATACTTTATCCCCATTCGGAGAATTTTTTTTCAGAGCTCGAATTCAAGCGTTATTTAATTCGCGATAAGCCGGGAAAAGCGCGCGATTTGTGCCATGTAGAAGTAATAAAACCTCGATGATGGCGACTCATTTTTCGCGATCGACATTTTTCACCTTTTTTCTCTCCCGAACGAAACGTTTTCCCGATATAAATCTACTCGTACGCGAGGTGTTAAGACAACGCGCCGATTCACAGACGAGAGGTTTCAGTTTCGAAATAAAAAAAAAAAGAAAAAGAGAAAATTGTCCGATTGATGGAAGAGAAAAAGAAAGAATTTATGTAAATCTTTTGTGTATATATAGCCGATTCTATTACCGTATCGAATTTTCCTCGAGAAAAACGGGCGAACGTGACAATCTCTGGAATATCCAAAGGAAAGATTGCGAATCTCCGCACACACGTGCGTGTAACATCGACCATTCTCTACGGTCTATTTCTATGTACGCTTAAAGGGCAGAACTCGCCTTTAAGGGTGGAAAGGGTACTAAAAGGGTACAGCTAGAACGCGGAATTCTAAGAACTCGGCGGTTCAAAGGGAGCTTTCGGTTGGTAGAGAAAACAACATAGCCTCCGCTGGTTTTTGGAATAACGAATTCAAGAAGAGTTAATATGCATATAAAAGGCAATAAGAGCTAATTAAGTTCTTTCATTAATATTTATTCGTGGAAAAAGATTTATAACGTAAAATATTAGACGGAAATAAATTCGAACGTTTCGGCTGCCTTTTTCAACCTTCTTCAGCGCGTCATTTAAAATTAAAGATTAATAGAAATTAACAATCAATTATTCATAACTGTCAATATAAGAAAACTACGTCAAGCTATTTTTTTTTAAAACGAAATTAACGCATTTTTATATATTCTATTCCTCGAATCGTCATTCTATGTAATTGTCGCGAAACAGATCTCTCGCTAATTTTTCGGTTGCGAATCTCGATAACAGCAATTGTTAATATGTAATTGTAAAGATAGAGGGCGAAGGAAAAACAGGCGCATTCTGCAATTTTTGGAATAGATTTTTATTCCAATTCGCGCATTTAGGTACCCATTTCTATAAAAATAAAAAAGGTATAGGCATTTTTTTAACATTGTAACGTTAATAACTTTTGCGCAAAATTCTTGCAAATGGAGAATTTACATATGTAACGATGTAGCGCCATGTAGCTCTTGAAGCGTAAATTGATTCTACATAAATCTCTGATTGCGTGATCCTATGTTTTTCCAGCGCAAAGTATAGGTCGCGCTTGTTATGCACGACTGTCGCTTTTTTCTTTAAAGAGAAAATTAAGAAGTTACGAGAAAAGTTATAACCGTGTTGCTTCATTATAAGCTTTTTTTTACTCGCCTATTATCTTCTCGCTTGCTAAAGAAAAAGTCTTCCTGCTTTTCGCGTTTTTCGCGCGCAAATTCTTCGTCCGACATGCGTTAAAAGGAAATTCTTCAGCAGATAAGGACACAGGGATTTACGGCGAGTTTAAGCAACCCCACGAATCGTCTTAATTCGCAGCATGCGAATGAACAGAAAAATAATGCCAGCTCTGGAGTTTTAAACGATAAGCAAGTAATTGCACTCGCAAAAGGATAAAATACCTCTAATTTCGCGATACCGCTCCCTCATTTGTAAATACGTAAAGTATATAAAACGTGAAAGTGTGTAATCCAGAAACTTTTTTCTCTCGATATCTGATAATTAATATAAATTTTACGAGATTGGTTGGATTAAATATTTCGTTTCAATTTTATAGATATTATTTAATACTTATCGACACATATTCGCGCACGAATTATTATGCGAATTAATATTTATTTTCGTGTTCCTTATCGCATCATCCATTTCGTTATTTATTACGTATGTATTTCTTTTTTATATACACAATACATCAAAAGTTACTTCCTCTTCAGATCCCAAAGAAAAGATTGTCACGCACACACTGAAAAAAATTTGTCAATTTGACTAAATTACTGTTTTATCAATTAAACATATATTAGTATTATTTAAGTCAAATATATGTTTTGTTAGATTTAATGTTGGATATAATTTAAATATTTTTATACGTTCAATTAAGAAAACAATATTTAAAGTCGAAAGATTCGGTCGAGTTATCAATTTTTGTTCACGTGTATACGAATTTCTGTTCTCCCTCACGCAAGTACCAAAAAGAGCCCGAAACATCGAAATGACGAAATCGCATGAACGGTTAATCGCGAAACAGTCAAGATCGCTCTCGCAAACCGCTCTCTCGTGCAGGAAAACCCTCTTGGACACGCGCTCATTATTTAAAGCACATTTCTCTGTATACATACATACACGAAAATCGAGTATCGTATCGTTGTTGTCACGTCGTCAGCGTGCTCGGAGGGATCAGTGATTTCTCGCGCGTGGAGGCGCAAAACGGGGTGAAGGAGGGTGGCAAATCGAATCTCCGAGAACGTTCGCACGATCAGAAGAAGATGGAAAAGCAAGGAGAAGTCGAAGGGCTGCGCGCTCGCCCGAGGGTATCGAGAGATATACAGAAAGCCAAACGCGGGAGAGGGTTCGTGCGAAAGAGAGAAAGAGTGAGAGACAGAAAGAGAGAGAGGGAGACGTGAACGGGAGGGTTGAATCGGCGCTTGCGCCCTTCCGCTTCTGTCTACTTGGCCGAGCGGAGCTGCCACCACCTAGTCTCTCTCTCTCTCTCTCTTTGCACCCTCTCGCTCTCTCGCTCCCACGCCGTCGAGCCGTCTCTCTCTGCGCGCGGCGCCGCGCTACTCGATAACAAACTCTACAGTGCCAGTACTGGCACGGTACTCCGGACCACCGGATCGCCCTCTTCGCCGTCGCCACCGGTGGCACATCGGTAATCGCAGAACGAGAGATCGGCATTTATTTCACGCGAATTTCGTCGAAGCACCTTTCGCAGCGCAATTTTTTCCCGCTTGTGGAATATATATATATATATATATATATATATTTATATGTGTATATATATATATATATGTATGTATGTATATATATATATATTTGCACATCCCCGGCTTTTTTTGTCACGGAAAAGTCCTCGTGAGATGCGTCTTTCCCTCGGTATCGTGCGTGCGTCAGGACACGCGTCATTGATCACGATCGCGATGGAGCAGCTTCCAAGTTTCTCTTTTTTTTTTTTTTTTTTTTTTGGCTCCCCTGTCATCCCTCGCTCTTTCGATTTAACCTTGTCGCGCAAATTAAAATATTTTGTCCCCGAAAATGTTTATACGCTTGATCTGGAAAGTGAGTGTCGCAACATTTTTGTCTTCGCCTACGGTTTTCGCAAAATGCAAATCACGCTTTATTTATATTTTCCTATTCAATTATACGTACAGACGAAACTTCCACGAGTGGGGTGTGAGTACGAGGGAGCCGGGGCTAAATTTCCCACAAGCCAGTTTCACCAATGTCGATTAACGCAAACTGTGATTGACTGAGGGTCGGTTGTAGTAACGTCGCTTAGGGCCCTGACATCGGTTAAGTCAATCTCCTCTCTCACTCTCTCTCACGCTCGCAGATAGAACTATAATTTGCAAAGAGATGGCCAATCATCGAGCCAGGTGATTGATACAACACCAGTTCCCTCCAAACTCACCATCCGTCGTTGCGAAGAGGGATGAACGACACGAGGATTATAGTTCGCTCGAGGAGAATTTCCGTTTCACCGGCGATCTATCAGAACGGGTAGATCGATTAAAAAAATCACATCCGCGGAGTTAATCGACGCGAGAGCCGGTTTTTGCCCGAGAAAGACGGTCCACCTTGCCGTTCTCCCTTTGTGCGCCGCTGGTTATGGTGTATAACTTGTTGCTCCCGGGCAAACGAACGTGCAGTGAGCGCGGATTGCAATTTCACATCTTCGAACCGGGCCGTCAATGGCAGATTGCCATTGCCCGCTTTTGGAGATCCCTCTTTTTTTTTTTTCCCTCTAGTTATTCACTTCCCGCGGCTCGCGATAAAAACGAGACCGGCCGTCGAACGCGCGTTTGTTACTCGGATAAGTGAGGGGATGAGATGGACAGAGAGGGTGGAAGGAAAAAAAAGGAAAGAGAGAATGAGCGGGAGAAATATCGCTTGAAGGATACTATACGGGATCCCGTCCTTCTGTTCTCCGACCGACCTTCCTCGTTATTTGCGGCTTAGGACGGGCTGCAGAACAAACACAGTCGCGACCAATTCCACCCCCTTTTCTCTCCCCTATTTCCCCACCCCGTCGATATTTGCCATCGCGATTATCCCGCTTTCTCACGCCAATTCTCGCCCGATTTCGACCTCGATCTTTGAGCGGGCTCGATCGCCGGTTGAAAAAATTAAGAGTTCAACAAGGCTCTGTAATATAAATATAAATTTCAAGTGTAAGACAGGCAGTAAAAAAAGAGCCAAATCGCGGATGACAGTGCGTTATCCCAACGAAACTAAAATTTTTTTCGTTAGAATTAAATACCTGTGCACAAGGCACCACATTTTACTTGGCTTTCCAACTGAGCTATTCAGATCCTTTCGATTCTATACTTTTTTCTCTGCTATTTATATAATAATGTTGGTAAACAAACGCCTTTAAGCCAGCGTGTGTAAATTAAGAGTTTGACAAGGCTTTGTAATATAAATATAAATTTCAAGTGTAAGACAGGCAAAAACTTTTTTCCCGTTAGAATTAATCTTGGCCGTGGCCAAGTAAAATTTGGTGCCTTGCGCAGAGATATTTAATTCTAACTAATAACGGAAATGCTTCGAATAAGATTTATTGTTGAATGAAAAAGAGAGAGAAATATAGCGCCCTTATGTACACTGAAAAAAAATGTCTTAACTTGACCGAAGCTTTCAACTAAATATTATTGTGTTAAATTAAACATAACATGTTAAAGCTAACAAAGCACGTATATTTGACTCAAATATTAATATACGTTCATTTAATAAACTAGTAACTTAGTTGAAAGGTTTAGTCCAGTTAACGAATTTTTTTTAAGTGTACTCATAAATGTTAGTTAAAATTAATAATTAGTTTGAACTCCTTTTAGAGGTAAAATTATAGACAGAAGCATTTAAGTTTCAAGTTTGACTAATATATCTCAATAATTTATGAAATTCATCTGAATTATATTTTTAATGTCAGATTCCTGGTATCATTTGGAGACAATTTTTCCTTAGTGAAAATGTTGAGAGAGACCATCATTTTTAGCATGTTCCCAATTTTTGCTATTATGTATCTTCATAACTAAGCCTTATATTAAAATTCTATTAAAGCAAACTCTACCTCAAATAGTTTTGTTAATATTGGGTTTCCAAAAAAGCCTTTATTTTCAACTGCTTATAATTCGAAAATTATTGGTGTCTCGACATTTTCGCCGAGGAAAAATCTCCGAATAATACCAGGAATCTGGCATTAAAAACTTTTCCGCCAGTTTTGAAACACCCTGTATACATCTTTCTCTCTCTCTCTCTCTCTCCTATGAAAAGGATTCGATTTTGCGGGACGAGACGCGGCGGGATGACAAATTGAATTTTGCTCGGTTGTCCTCTATCAGCCCCGGGAGGGCTAAAAGTCCGTGCTCATGAAGGGCCTTTATTTATTAAAGGACAGAGGCTCGCATCTCGCACACTCTCGAGATTGACACTCGATTTTCAGGGTGCGAGTCCAGATAAATTAACCGAGTAAACAAGAAAGTGGCGGGAATTAGCCAATTATCGCGTTACTCGAAAAGTGCACTTCTCGATTTATTCCCGCGTCAACAGACGCGTTTCCCGAATTAAGTAGTTACGGATCGGCCGCTGCTTAAAATTCTGCCGTCGAGCGCGGATTCCTCGACGAAGTTCGACGAAGTAAAAGGATTAAGTAGTTACGGATCAACAGAGTCGAGATTGAATTGATACACCTTTCTCTTTCTTTAATTCCCGTTGGACATTTTAAATGTCCACTGTTTGACTCCGACGAGAGAACGTATATAACATAGAACTTGAAACTTTCCTGTAAATGTTTTTCGCGAGAATTTCGATTATTTGAGATCCCCATTATCCTTCGGTGCCGCTTTCAGCGCAAATGAGAACTAAATAAGACTTTCTTTCCATCGAGTTTCGATTGTTCTGCGGATTGAAGTTGCGCTTCCGACTCTCAAGATTCTCTCCTCGCTTCAGTAATAAATGAACTCCCCCACCTTTTCTTTTTTAATGGGCCGACTATGCCGCGAAATTAAGAAAAATAAGTACTCGGGTGTCGCTTCGAGTATATCTCACTCCCAACTTTTTGCAAACTTTTGTTGCGTCCCGGCAAACTGCGCGAGTTAAATAGTTACGAATTGCTTACGCCCGTATTTCTTTCGCGTCCCGATGCCGATTTGTGACGTCATTTATTTCGCAAATGGATTTCGGGGAACAGTAAAATCTGCCTTCGACGAGTGAGACTAATTTTTGCTATCGCTCCGGGAAAAAAAGAGCTACGAGAGAAATTAAGTAGTTAAAAATTAAATTAAGTCAGACTCACAGCTCGTACTTTGTCGATACTTTCCGTCATTTCGTAATTTTCTCGTTTCTATCTCTCCTTTTTCCCTTTTTTCTTCCCCACATATTTAACAAATATATAATTACCGTTTTATTATTAATTATATACGCTTTAATTACAAAGTACCATATTTAAGCATGCATAATAATTAGCGAATCGTTTATGTTAAACCATTTTCTCGTTTTATCACGCGTAACGTGGCTTGTAAAAAATTTTAAAATTACATTTTGTTCTTGTTATTATTTTATTGATTTTCTATATTTGTGAAAATGTTAAAATTGACGAAAATCAAAGTTATTGCTTTCTACAAATGCTTTAGAATTTCTTATCGCGAAGAGTGGCCGTTAATTCGAAAATAATCTTTAATTTCTTCCAAAAAAATCAAGAGATATGAGAATTACGTGCTCCTTCTGGTAGATTTAATTCATACATTCTTCTTGCTGAGAACCTGCCGCTGATTTGTGACGCTATTCCAACCGCGGCGGACATTCCGAAAAGCTATGAGAACTTAGGAATTACGAACCTCTTCGAGTGAGAAAATCTAAAGCGAATATATACCATCAGCATCCTGGATTCTGCCATCGAGCTGGAGACGCTTGAAAATTTTTACAATCGATAAAAGTATCAAATCATACTTTACCAAGTTAAAAATACACGGGCCAGCTAATGCGATCTCTTCGTATTATCTCTTTATTCAAGAATTTTGTAGACTCCGAGATCGGGCAGAAAATGTGAAATATAAACCGTGGGATATTTTTCTTTCTCTTAAGCCGCACTTGATTTTGGGATAAATATTGTATAATCATAAAGCGATCGACAATCTCGTAGATAAAATTCGCCACCTGTACATAGAGAAATTTTCTAAAGGTCGACGAAGAAATTCTAACCCACTAATCATATTTTTTATCTCTCCTCTTAATTAACTGTTCGCTTCGTTCCCCCTTTTAAACCCGACTCCTGGAGCAACATTTTCTCGCTTTCTAACTCTTGTAAAGCCACCTTTATTGCTTGCCAGGCAGCTTTCGAGATCTTGGTTAGCACAATGACGGTAGGAAACTGGTTCCCTCTCGAGGACGATCATCCAAGAAACCTTTACGCGCTTTGTTTGTTCCGTCCCGAAAAATCCGTCGGACCCCCGTTTAATTTTCCCTCGACGCTTCCGCTCGACGTCGACAATTTCCGGAAGGGTCATTAACGCGGATCGTTTTTCCTCTCCTTTGTGTCTCCGTAGCCGATAGAAGAGGCTTACGCTTTTTCTTATCACAACTGTCTCTCTAACGCGACGCTCTTTTAAATCTATTAAAGCAGAAGGATTTGAGAGAAACGCACACGAGGGACCCCATTAGAAATTGCCGGCTTAGCGATTTTCGAAGATCCGAAACCCTCGTCATCGTCGTATTTTTCCACAATTTTTTTTTTTTTTTTTTTTTTTCCCTTTTCTCTCGTTCTGATATCGAAAGAGCGACACAGGGGAACGAAGGAAAGAGGAACGACGACTAATTGGAAAGCCGACCGCGGAGATTAAAGATTTCCCGGACCCGCCCTTTTCTCTCGCGGCGGCGCTTAACTGAAATTACGTCAACTGGCGAGTGCGGTTGTACATTATCGACCGACGTAATTGGGTATTCGTTAGAAATAAATGGCCGCTAATACGATTTCGGGCAGATATCTCTCTTCCCCCCATCTCTCTGTATTTATTTATCCATCTATCTATTTATCATCCGTCCGTTTCTTCCCGATAATGCGATATCGGGCGCGAAAAATCACGTTACTTAAAAACGATAAAAAGATTATAAAATCCAATAGCGCGCACGCACGCGGCCCTTCCTCTTCCGCAGTAATGATTGGACGATTTAATCATCCGCTACGCCGGCGAGAATCATCAAGGCACGAGCGAACCCGCTGAGAATCATCGTCGCGAAAACACATCGGGCAGGTCGTCGTCGTCTTTAACCCATCGTCTCGTCGTTTTATCCCAGTGTCGTTTTAACGTCGTAGACAGTCTTGTGATCAATTTCCAGCGCACAGTGAAATAACTTCGCGCCGTGGATCATCAGGTAGGTCCTCAATTTTTCATTTTGTAAAATACAGAGGAGAGTGCGAGATATATCCCGGGAAAACATTTGTTATATATCAAATTATACATATAATTTAGATAAAAGTGCTTTTTATATATAATTTCTTCATATATATAAATATATATGTTTCCTCGTATAATTTATATAATTATGTATAAAAATAGACATATTTCACAAAATATAATTTTACGATTATATGTATAATTATACAATTATTTCTATATATTTGTTTCCCGAGATATGTTTCTAATAATGTCTCTGAATGTCATATGGAAAGCGATAAAATTTTTCGCGGTTAAATAAGCGCTACTACAAACTCGTAAAATCGTTTTTATTATTTTTCTTTTACGGCGATACGAACAATAGTATTATAGAATATAATTCCTAGAGACGAACGCGAGTGTATTAACACTCGTGTAATATTATATATTATCAATCTTATACGATCTTAACGCGAAATGTCCGCCATCGCGTAATAAAATTTCCAATCACGTTCCCGACCCGATTTAATGGCGGATTTGATTCGATTGTTGGCGATATTACAGTCGACCGATACTTTCGCGACCCCACGGCCGTAATGACGGTTGTGTAATTATGGATTTAATATTATTTGGACGTCGGTGCCGAAACAGAAGGGCAGAGCGGGATTGGTAATTGTTGTTTACAACGGGCTGCCGCCCGTCATTGTGCCAGTGATAACGGGGCACCGATGGGAGATGACGGATTTTATTAGCGGCACGGAAGGGAAACTGATCAAATGTCAATTGTTACGTGTGACTTGTGCAGGGCGCAGTTTAAATTTCGTTTATCCCAATATTTCGCCGCAAAAGTAAACGCGCTCGATAACATCGTGCGCGATCCAGATATCTTTGATTGAACCGACGCGATATATGTGATATTTGACATAATTACGAACGTAATAATTTTCTGTGATTTTCAAATTTCGTTGTATATCCTCCGCCTCGCTGATTATACTGGTGTGTATTAAATATGTATGTTGTTGTCTTGATATTTCAAAGCGGAACTCTTATTAATTCTTATTAATGGTCTTTTTCAAGAATTTTCTTCAGTAAATAAGATAATAATCAAATATATACAGGGTATTTTTTATTTTATTCATTACATATATGAGTGTAAGCATATAAAAAATTATTAAGTTTTATAAGAAATTATAATTTTTCTGCATTATTTTGCATTGTAAGTTAGTTTAATTTAAAAAATACAAATATTTTCTTGTGAAGAAATGTTATAATTGTGATTTATCGTTTTTTTTTAATTTTTTTTATATGAAACAAAAAAGTGGAAAAAATTGTTAAGCATACGTGCAATTTTTTTTCAAGTTATCTAATTTCGTCAATTTTTATAAATTAAAAAATCCACCTCGACAGATCGTAATTATAACATTTTTTTACAAGAAAATATCTTTATTTTTCAGATGAAATTAACCTACAGCAATGCAAAATCATGCAGACACTGGAATTATTACTGGTGCACGCGACTTGTCATAAAACTTATATAATTTTCTATAAAATAATAATTAGAATATAATTAAAAAATAAATTAATTAAAATGATAATTTTTCATATACGTACAACCTGCAAATTAATTACCATGTAATTTACCGAGAAAAAAATTCCCCCCAAAAAAACAGATCCTTTTTGCGCTTAACAAAGGTATGTATTTCCTTAATAAATCAATTCCGTCGTCGTGCAAACAGCGATCGGACTTATAAATCTGGTTTGCACAAATAAAATAACCCCTGCTCGATTCGCTTGGTCAAACAACGAAATGCCGTTCAATTACCGCGCTATAATAATTTCGGGATTATTTGGATGATGCGTCGCGCAAATACCTTCCGCTCGCGTTCCCTGATTCTCGATTACATCGGATGGGAAAATTACACGATCGCGGCCGCGTTAAACCGCGCGAAAGTTCGATCGTCGGAATAACCGCGATCGTACACGCGATCTCTCAATTTCCTCCAAGTTCGATATTCTAACACGCCGCAGAAACAATCAGTATCTCTTCTAATGCCAATATTGTATTATCTCGCAGCTGCACTCTCGTCTATGCATAAGGATCGCGTATGTATCTTTACGAGAAGTGTGCAAAGCCTGTTGGATATACGTGAAATCCGATTTATCGATCGTACACTAACGTATAAGTGGATTAACGATCGAATCATTTATATTAAATCATATTTCACTTTCTGCCGATCCTATCGCGTCGCTACATCAGGGAATTCTGCGTGCAGTTAATAAATGATAACAGGATTGAGCAGATAAGCCAACAACCGAGTGTGCGATCTCGTTAAATCTAAAGGTTTACTCTGTGTTCGCATATATTTCAGCATCCCTTATTATTAACTTTGCTGTTCGCAAGAATTTAATTTTCTTTTTGCACTTATATAATATTACACGTGTAATCTTGCAATATAAACAAATTTTATTTCCATATGAAATAAAAAATAATGCTTTTCCTGATACGCGCGATATGTAAATGTATTCCTATATATATTTCTTTCATTGCACACACATATATATATATATAATTGCATAATATATTCTATATATAGTATACCATTAAATTAGTATACATGCAGTAGATTGTTATGAAAAGATAATGGGAACGCGTTTTTTCCGGCCTTTATATATAAAATACGCGAGTAACGCTATTATAATCTATAATAAACGATAGACACGTCAGCGATGTCAACGCGTCGAAAACATTTTTGACGCGTCGCGAATTTTTCGGAGAAGAGAGACACGAAAAATAAACTTCCTGAATCTTCCCTGCGCAACGACGCGACGCTTTGAAAATCCAGTTTTTCTCGCATGCAATGCGGGCTACAAATATATATATATATATCTCGGCTGAAGTATCTCTCCGGTGACGTAGAGGTGCAAAGCTTATCCGTTCCGGCCAGCTTTTGGTATTAATCTGACTGGGCATAAATCTCACCCTAATCCAGGTAACGCTATAACTCCGTAGCTGTAGCGCCGCAGCTACTGTTATTGCAGCGGGAAATGCGGAACTTGTTGAATACATCCGCGAATATATTCGGGGAGGAGGCAGTAGTCCTCCGCAGTTTACGAAGAGGAGTAACTAGAAGTGCTAACGATTTGCTTTTGCAGAGCCGCGGTCGGGTCGATCGGTCCTAAGTGTTCCCTTTTCAAGGGAGAAATCGAGCAATTCGCGCGCACCGGCTAATTTGCATTTTAATCGGTCCGATTCTCGAGGGGCCGATATAATTGCGTCAATTCTTTGAAACAACTCGGAGAGTCGCCTCGCAAATTACTATCGGTTCCTTACATCGCGTAGTAAGGAGAGAAAAATTCTACGCAGAAGAGATCTCTCTGGATCTTTAAGGAAAAAAAAAAAGAAAAAATTCTCTTCTCGTACGGGAGGAATTATTCAATCGCGTAGGACGATAATTTTATATTTACCCCGTTATCCTTCAAACTTTGTCGTCGTTTGTTAAGAGGATGCTGACCATAACTGTTTTACCGACTTTGAGTTTAAGGGCTTTTCTTTTTATTGGCTATATAAATTAAAAAAGCCTTCTCCACAATTAAAATACTGATAATAATGAACGGAAAGCGCTGTAATTTCGTGTAAAAAACAATAAAAGTTAAAAAGTTACAATTTTTTGTCGGCCTCTTGCATCAACGTATAACAATAGTTATTTAATACAAAAGTTCTGCAGTTTATTTGTGCACAAATATGACGCTCCCACTGATAGAGATGACATGAAAGAATAATACAGAAGTAATAAAAATGAGATTAAAAGCCTGTATCAAAAGATTTGTAATTGAATTATAATGTATAATAAACGATGCGAAAGCGATGTCGAGGCATAAATTAGTTGCCGGATAGCGCTGAATTCATTATTATCAGTGCTTTCATTGTGGAAGATTCCTGTATATTCAATCAAAAGTGAACCTAATCTAATTTAAAAAGTAGAGCAATAAGAAAAAAAAGAAATAAAAAAAGCCAATCGCGTAGGACGATAATTTTATATTTACCCCGTTATCCTTCAAACTTTTCGGTTTTTAAGAGGATGCTGACCATAACTGTTTTACCCTTTTCCAGGTTAAAGGCTATAATTAAAATGAACGCAATTAAAGTACTGTTACACGGAAAAATTTCGTTGCCCAATAGCGCTGTCCTCTTGCATCAACGTATATAGTTATAATACAAAAGTTTTGCTTTCACAAATATGACGCTTGATAGGATGACAAAAGAATAATACAGAAGTTAAAAATGAGATAAAAGCGTATCAAATCAAATTTGTATATTATTTGCGTGCGAAGGCCCAAAATTATTGCCGTAGCAATGCTTTCATTAGTAATTGTTCAATCTGTATATTCATCGTGAACCTAATCTAATTTAAAGTAAAACTTTAGGTAAAACAGAGCAAGGGCAGCATCCCCTTAAGAAAAAAAAGAAAAGAAAAAATTCTCCTCTCGTACGGGAGGAATTATTCAATCGCGTAGGACGATAATTTTATATTTACCCCGTTATCCTTCAAACTTTGTCGTCGTTTGTTAAGAGGATGCTGACCATAACTGTTTTACCGACTTTGAGTTTAAGGGCTTTTCTTTTTATTGGCTATACAAATTAAAAAAGCCTTTTCCACAATTAAAGTACTGATAATAATGAACGGAAAGCGCTGTAATTTCGTGTAAAAAACAATAAAAGTTAAAAAGTTACAATTTTTTGTTGGCCTCTTGCATCAACGTATAACAATAGTTATTTAATACAAAAGTTTTGCAGTTTATTTGTGCACAAATATGACGCTCCCACTGATAGAGATGACATGAAAGAATAATACAGAAGTAATAAAAATGAGATTAAAAGCCTGTATCAAAAGATTTGTACTTGAATTAATGATGTATATATATTTGCGTGCGAAATCGATGTCGAGGCATAAAACAGCCAAAATTAGTTGCCGGATAGCGCTGCCCATTCATTATTAT